GGGGAGTTGGGAGTTCCAAGACTCAATACAGAACCCTTGAGTTTAGAAAGGTTGTTTCTCTGTTGGTTACATATGGGGCAAGATAACTGGAAGGGATGTTGGGGTAATAGGATTGACCTCAGGTTCATGGGGTGTGAAAGTAAGAGACTGTAAAGGTTTGGTTTGGACATTTCCACATTTTCTATTTCCACATTTCTTTTCTAGCTTGCATCATGCTGACCTGTGACCATGTCGCCAATCACTGATGATGGCCCTGTCCAGTCATGCTTACCAGGATTAGTCAGGGATAGTTGAGTTTGAAACCTTCCTCACTGTCAGTTCATCATATAGCTGATCACTTTCCTGAAGAGGTGGAATACCATGGTGTGTTTAGGAGTGATTTTGTAGAAGAGGTAATTTAATGATTTTCTGTGAGAAGAGGGAGAAATGTGGACTGAATTTCCCACACCTGACTTTCTGCCCACTCCTGCCAACTGAAGCATTTGCTCTAGCTGAGAGAGAAACTATGCTCATTGTTTTTTTTTTTTTTTTTTTTTTAGCCTATAAAAAAATCTCCTCTGCATTGTTGTGGAGGCTGGATAAATGAGACAGATAGATGGGGGCAGGTAGGAGGAGGTGACAGGATTTGGCTGCCAAGCTGCCTTTGTGATCCATCTCCACAGAAGCCAATGTTAATCCATCGAGGCTCAGTAAGACTGATATCCAGCAGTGACAGTTTGGACATATAAACATGACCTTGGATGTGCCCAAAACCACAGCTGAATACATGCCAACTTTCCTGTGTAGTATATCAGCAGGACAACATAACTTTGTTGGAATCGGTTGTGTTCAGGGTGTTAGTGTATCTGCAAATCACCAACGTTGGCCCTCTAACTATGGTGAGACTGATTCAGGTTCAGTCAGTTTTCAGTAATTAGACACAAGGAAGCCCAGGACAGTCCTCTTGTATTCATCATTAGGTTGTGATTTGCCCCTATTATGGGTGTCAAAAACAATTACTCGATCAGTTTAGAGTTGTTGGTTGATATTTCCTGCACTGTGACCATTCATCTGGTCAAATATCTATGATTATGGAGGGGGGGTGGGGAAAGCCTCTGCTTCTGGCCTTCCAGAACATACTAGTAAAAAGAAAGTTTTGTCCTATAAGGTAATGGGAAATAACTTTCAAACAAGAGTCATTTCCTAGTGCCCAGTCACGCTGCTGCTTTCAATCCAAAAGAAACAGATGTGTGAAGTAGTGGGATCCCAAAACAGAAGAATCAGCATCATTTGAGAAGTTGTCAGAAATGATCAATTTTATACCTCACACCAAACCTATTTGAATCAGAGACACTGGGAGTAGGAACCCAGTGATCTGTTTTATCAGGTCTTCCAGGAGATTCTAATGCATACTGGATTTGTGAAATACTAATCTAAGCCCACCAGCCACTCCTTAGAAAAAAGATGGGGCAATCTACTTCCGTAGTGATACTGCCTCGGAAACCCAAGGAGGGGTCGCTATGAGTCGGGCCTGACTTGATGGCACATAACAACAACAATCTAAATGAACTGAACAGATTGCTAAGAAAGCCTACTAGGCAAATTGCATTGGGTAAATCTTCTGCAAAAGACCTCTTTAAAGTTAAAGTATTAAAGAACAAAGATGTTACTTTGAAGACTAAGGTATAACTTGACCCAAGTGATGGTATTTTCAGTAGCCCCATATGCAAGTGAAAGCATAACAATGACTAAGGATGACTGCAGAAGAATCGATACATTTGGATTGTTGTGTTGATGAAAAATACTGAATATATCTTGAACTGCCAAAATAGACAAATCTGTCTTAGAAGAAGTACAGCTGGAATGCTCTTTGGAAGTGAGAATGGCCAAACTTTGTCTTAGGTACCTTGGTCATTTTATCAGAAGGGACTAATTCCTGGAGAAGGATATCATGCTTGGTAAAGTAGAGGGTCAGTGAAAAAGGGGAAGAACCTCAATGAAATGGATTGACATAGTGGCTGTAATGATGTGCTCAAGCACAGCCAGTGATTGTGAAGATGGTGTAAAACCAGGCAGTATTTTGTTGTACATAGGTTTGCTATGAGTCAGAACTGGCTCTGTGTCACCTAACAATAATCTAATAATCTAAAATCATTTTTTTTGAAGTCCCTATAGGGATAGCAAGGAGCCCTGGTGGTATACTGGTTAAAAGGACTCAGCTACTAACCAAAATATCTGCTGTTCAAACCCGCCAGGCCCTCTGTGGGAGAAAGATGCAACAGTATGCTTCCATAAAGATTTATAGCCTTGGAAACCTTATGAGACAGTTCTACTCTGTCCTATAGGGACACTGTGAGTCGGAACCCACTCAACAGCTAAGGGTTTGGTGGTTTTAGATAGAGACCTATTGGTGCAGTGGTTAAACCCTCAACTGCTAATCAGAAGGTCAAAAGTTCAAATCCACTAGCCCCTTTGTGAGAGAAAAATGTGACGACAATCTGCTCCTGTAAAGATTACAGCCTTGAAAACCCTGTGGGTCAGTTATACTCTGTCCTGTATTGTTGCTATGAGTTGGAATTAATTTGACAGCAATGGGTTTGGTTTGGTTATGGAGACAATAGGAACTAAGAATTAGGTATCTGATAAAACTGATTTGAATCCTAGTTTTGGAGCTTAATATCAGTGTATTGTGAGTCAATTTGTATAATATTTCATAGCTTCAATTATACCATCTGTAATTTGGCAATAAGTGAACCATAGTATGATTTTGTGATGATACAATAAGCAGCACAAAACTTGCTATATGCCAGGCCAGAGATGTTTCTGGTTGATTGGTTTTTCCCACAGGAGCCTTACAGGATGCTTCCCACCTGTGCCTGCAATGATTGTGTGACATTTACACAAGTGCAGGCAGAAAAATGCAAAACACAGGATGTTTCATCTCAAGAGAGGCTGCCTAGGGTAGTGGTGTGCTCTGTGGCAGTGCTTACACTTTTCATGGTCACAGATCATTCTGAAAATTCAGTGAAAGGCCATTTCCCCTCCCCATTGAAAAATACACTTTTGCACATTCTGAAGAATTCACAGGACCAGGAACTGGAAAACCTGGATGCTAGGTCTGACTCTATCTATACTAGCTATTACATTGGGAAAGTCACTAGACCACTCCAAATCTGATAGTACTGCTCTTTAACAGCAAGAATGGATAAAAGCATCTAGTGTACAGATTTCTTTCCAGAATCAAATGAGACAGTGTGAATGTAAAAGTGCCATGGATGCTGCAAAAGAGTATACAGATTTGAAGCATCATTATTCATCCCAAGATGCATTAATCTTTCCAGCATTATAGTTAGGATCAGAATACTGTGCTTGTGAATTTACCCTGAAGCCATAGAACTAAGTTGGTGTCATGAACCAAACCTAACCATACTCACTGCTGTTGAGTCAGATCCGACTCATAGCGACCCCTCCTTGGGTTTTCAAGGCAGTATCATTATGGAAGTTGATTGTCCCATCTTCCTTCCAAGGAGTGGCTGGTGGGTTTGACCACCAGCCTTCTGGTTAGCAGTCAAATGCCTTAGCCACTATGCTTCAGGAGGGAAAATAAATACAGAAGGAGAAATGTGATAATGATTTGAAGAGAGTTAGTGAGAAATTTGAAAGTGCAGGAAAAGAGAAAGGAGCATCCAGAATTTGGGGAACCCAGATACAAAAGTTAAAGGAAAAATATCTGCTTGTATAGATGCAAACAGTTTGATGAATTTGAAAGATGCCTTTAGTATAGTTACAATTCAACATTTTTTCTGCTGGATATAATGAAGATAAATAGAAGTGATGGTGGTCCATGTTTAGTTTTTACTTCAGAAGCTTACTACCAGAATTCACTAATTGAGATGAGAACTATCACTCTTATTAGGTAAAAGCTGGGTCTCCGGTCTAGCACATAATCAGCTGCATGACTTAAAAAGCTGCGGTGGATCCTCATTATTCTTAACTATCTATTTGTAAATTTTCTTACTTGTTAAAATGTGTTTGTAACTGTAAAGTCTGTACTGTGGTGCTTTCACTGTCATTTGTGGACATACTCTAAGAACAAATACCAACTAGAAGTAAGAGGAGAAAAAAAAAAAAATCAGAGGCTTAATTTCCTTTTTTTGGGGGGGAAAGGAAGGTCCCCCTCCCTGCTTTTTTCTTAGAGCATTTATTTTCTTTGTGCCTTGATCCCTTTACCAATAGAACTTCCTTAAGGATGGATATAAGTATTTCATGATTTAAGTCACATGGAATACCTAAAACAGTGTTCAACTTGCTTTCACCTCTTTCATCTCCCTAACTGTGGATTTCTGATACTGCATCTCACCTTTGGGGGATTTTCATCATCTATTGAAGCCCTTGAGCAAAGGGAAGACTGGCAGTGCTGGGTGGTGGAGAGGGGAAGCTCAGCCATTATGGAAATAGAAGCATGGAAGGTGCTTCAAAGTTACAACTGGGAATTGTTTGAAGTACTGAACTACTCATGGCCCAGAAGTCTGAGGCAGTCATTGTTCTGAGCCTGTACTCCTCTAAGACCTCTGCTACTGAGTTCCAGACTGTATACCCATGATAACTTGTTAAAAAAAAGTGAAATGTGTGAATGTGTGTGTGGATAGTAGAGAGTGTGCCCCCTGCAGGGTGCAAAGGGTTAATACATTTGGCTGCTAACCTAAAGTTTGGAGGTTCAGGTCCACCCAGAGGTGCCTCAGAAGAAAGATGTAGCAATCTACATCCAACAAAACAGACATTGAAAACCCTATGGAGCACAGTCCTATTCTGACACACATGTAGTTGCCAGGAGTCAGAATCGACTCTATGGCTACTGCTTTTTGTTTGTTTGTTTGTTTGTTTGTTATACTGGGGGTTATGGGGCAAAAGGGAAAACGGTGTATGATGACAGCCATCTTTGCCTTGCCAAGAAAGTTCCACTCTGATGACTCCCATTTTATCTTCAATCCTTTGACCTAATTTTCTGGTGTTCCCTACAGGTGCACAATTGACAACCGAGTCACCCGTGTGGCCTGGCTAAACCGCAGCACAATCCTCTATGCTGGAAATGACAAGTGGTGTCTGGACCCCCGTGTGGTCCTGCTGAGCAACACTCAGACCCAGTACAGCATTGAGATCCAGAATGTGGATGTGTATGATGAAGGCCCTTACACCTGCTCTGTGCAGACAGACAACCACCCAAAAACCTCACGGGTTCACCTCATTGTACAAGGTAGGTGGGCTTAGTTGTGTGGCTACAGATGGGAAGCTGGGAAAGATTAGTTAGAGACTATCTGTGACCCTCAATGCCCATCAGATCTGTTTGTCTTATCTGGCTAGAGCAGCTTCCTGGTTGTCATGTTGCAGTTAGAACCTATATTTTCAGTAATTTGCATATTGAGTAGAACTGTGATTTTTTTATTTTAATTTTGTTCAAATATTTTTTTCCAGAAAATTATTTTCTAGTTACTGTGCTCCATCGTTTTTTTTTTTTTTTTTTCCTCTCTCTCCTAAGTTCCTTAGGTTACATCCAACTCTAAGCTTGCTGTGATTTATTTAAGGCAAGTATTTTAATGCTGTCCTAGCAGTACAGTGCCTAAGACACTTGACTGCTAACCAGAAAGCTGGTGGTTCAAACCACCAGCCACTCCTCTGAAGGAAGGTTGGGCAATCTACTTCCGTAGTGATACTGCCTCGGAAACTAAAGGAGGGGTCGTTATGAGTCGGGCCCAACTCGACGGCACATAACAACTACAACAGTACTATACACATATATATCATGCCCTAGCTCAGCCCACCCTTTCAATACAGATCCAACCAACAGATTCTCTACAGAGTTATACAGACACACTCATTATGACTGTTTTTGTTTGTTTGTTTCCAACTTGCCTGTACCTTCTTTCATCTCCCTAACTATGGATTTCTGGTACTGCATCTTACCTTTAAGGTATGCATCTGGTGCCCTGTTCTTTGGCTGCACTTAACTATATTGGGTTGATTTCTAATATAGTGAGGAAGAACTCAAAATCTTGAATGCCAGAAGGACTGCCACATAGCATTGCCCTTTGGATCAATTTTAAAACTATTGCATTATTCTTTAGTTTTTCTAATACACTTTGCAATGGACCAAATATTCTGCTCTATTAAGTTTAATCCCCAAGCAGTGGCTTTTCTGTCAGGTTTCCCAACCTGATTCCAAATTTCCTTCATGAAGTAAATGGCAGCACCAGGGAAGTATACTCCTTTTCTGGAGTCCCCTTTGTCTGTCTTCTTTAATGACATGCTCAACTTTATCTTTCAATGGAGGATAGAGAATTGCCAAAAGATTCAGTAGAGAAATAAGGGGAATGAAGGTGGCTTCAGAAGGAAAAACTCAAACTGGTAGAATTAAGGTAAAGTTAGCTGTGAGAAGGCCAGTGACACATGGATCATGATTCCACATACTTGAAAAGAAATAGGGAGAAATAATGAGATGAGGAGGTGATTATAAAAAGGACATGAGCTCTGGCCTGAGTCATTCCAGTGGGATATTTGAACCCCTGATGCTATGGCAATGTTTGAGTATACCAAGTTTTATTGTATTATTATTGTTCCCCTTATTCTTTCTTCCCAAAAGAAAATTGTGATGGCTGTTTATTTTCCTAGTTCTGTATAAGAATACTTTTCAAACTGCTCTTAAAACCAGTATTTTTTTTAAAAATTATTTTGTTGTTGCCATTGAGAATATATACAGCAAAACATACATCAATGCATTAATTACATTATTTTAGTTAGGCAAATATTCTCACTCTCCTTTTCTGAGTTGTTTCTAACTTATTGACATAAATGCACTGCCTCAGAAGATTCCCATCTAATCTTTCAAGTTGCTGTTGTCAATTTGATCCCATATAAATAGTTCTTAAAAGAACATAAAGTGAATTGTGGTAAGGTGGCAGAATAGGCAGAAAGACTGCATAGACCCTCTTGAACAAAGAAAAGGGGAACTAATTAACACAGATACAGAAGATAATCCTGGACCCCTGAACCTTGAAGGGAAGGAAATAAAAGTGGACTAAACTCCAACTTGCAGAAAAATCTGCATGAAAATACCAGAAAAGACATATGGAGCTGCGGTCTGGCAGCAATCCTGATGGCACAGAGAGCTTGGATATTGCCGAGTGGTGGTAGGATTAATAATTAACCTAAAAATCAGCCCTGCTAGCCTGGGCCTGCACAGACTGCTCTGGTGGCTGGAGGATAAAAGGCAAATCAGCAGTGAAGAGGAAGGTGGGCTGAGCTTTGGACTTTTGCCTGTTCAGAAGGTGCTGCCATTTTGAATGTTTCTAAGTGCCTTGATCATTTTGAATAGTTAAAGTGACAGCATTCTTCCAGATGCCAGGGACTTAAGACCAGGCTCAGCTTGCTGGAAACTACAAAGACATCCCAGACACACAGACAACTGAAAAGATGTGGAATTCCCCTTGTTACTTGTACATCTCACACTATCTTGGTGAACAGAGGTGAGGCTATCCCTCACTCCCACCCACCTTCTAGGTGGACAGGAATACCATCCCAATCTGTGTGCTCTGAGAGAGCCTTGGTGCACTGCCCTGCCATGGCAATTTTTTTTTTTCTTTTTTTATAGTTTGTTTGTTTTTGTCTGTTTGAAAACTATAATTATTATTACTTTTGTCCTTTTTATTATCATACTTTATTCTTCCCTTCCCAAGTTCCAGTTTTCAGCTTCTTTTCTTTGCCCTATTCCTAATTCCATTTTATTTTATTTTTTTTCCTTTCTTGTGGGTAACCCTTTCCTTGTTTTTCTTTTTGTGTTTTTCCCATTTTTTTATTCATTATTCACCTTCTCTTTTTTTTCTCTTTTTGCCCTCTCCCCAGATGTTGTTGTTGTTGTTGTTATGTGCTGTCGAGTAGGCCCCGACTCATAGTGACCCCTCCTTGGGTTTCCGAGGCAGTATCACTACAGAAGTAGGATTGCCCAACCTTCCTTCCAAGGAGTGGCTGGTGGG